CAAAACGATGTCATATTTATTAAATTTCGATTCTCAATTTACTTTTATTACGTCAGAAACAAAATTCGAATGAATACATATTATAAACAAAATCCAAACATCGCGAGTGACATCTAGTATGATTTCAAGAACTAATTTATATTTTTTAAATACTAAAAAATATAATAGAGTAGAGCTCTACTACGTAAATACCTCATTCGATTAGTTCGACATACGTAAACGCAAGTCCATTATTACGAACGAATAATCTCTGAATAAATTTTTTTTTATTTGTGTACAGGAAAATGAAAACTTACTTAATGGAAGCTTTAATGGAAGTGAGCATAGAGAGAATTTTCGAAAGTTATGTAAATCAATAGAGATTATGAAAGTGGCATTTAGCTATGATGGTTTATAATACATACGGTTACGGTAGCAATACGGCTTATGGTTTATAATCCGAGTTATAATATCAGATATTATTGCATGAAATAGTTTCTATAAATAAAATACTTATGCCATAGTAAGTCTAGGAATTTTTCATTATAATATTTAACAAAAGTTCTGGAAACAATACCAACTATATAGCTAAACTAGTTTTGTTGCTATTGGTTGTTAGTTGATCCTACAGCAACAAAGGTCATAAAAAACGATAATTATATTAAAAAAATCGTTTATTATCTATTCTTACCCGATATGTTTCAAATATACTAGGCGCTATAGTTCACTTATCAAAGCTAGGCACTTGTACAAAATAACATGACTTCTGGCTTGTATGATGAAGGGGGGGGGGGTCGGTACCAAGACCCCCCCCCGTCCGTGCTATCGCTACTGAACTTGCACGTCGACGGCGGACGTCGAGATAGGTGTTATATTAATAAGTACGGTGGGTATGTGCTTTTTTAGTTCTTACAATAATATTGTCAATTATAGATTGACTTCATACTCATCCTACTCTAGAAATCAGTTTTATTGCAATATATTACTTATGAAGTACCTAGAGTAGTCATGCTCTCTTAAAAATTTCTACGTTGGTATCGTGTGCGTCGGCGTCGTTACATTCCCTCAAATATAGATGAGCGAAGCCATGGCTGACTCATGTGTCATGCTCGTCAACGGGTGCCAGTGAGGTGAGCCTGCACTGGACTCCTTGATTTTGCCCATTTTCTTTTATTATGAATATTGTAAATTGATTTGATTTGATTGATTTTGTTAATGAGTATGTAGGATTTCTGATATTGTAATGGAAAGTGACTTCAAAGTCTAATTAAGTCACGTACCAATATAAGAAGATAAAAATAAAATAGGGAGAAAAAAGCAGCCCTTGCTGAGTTTCTTGCCGTTTCTTGTCAGTACAATCGACTTTCACAAGTCCTATGTAACAGACTAGACTGAATTGACTTTGATATTTATATTAAAAAATTTGGGAAAAACGGGAAATTTTAGCTATGTTAGTAGCAACAAATCACAAGTGCGAATAAGAGAGAGAATTAGTTCGAGAAGTACCACTAAGATCAAATTTATCGTCTTCATTAGAATGTATGGGAGTGCAATCTTCATCTAATATTTATAAACTTTTTGGGTTTTCCCAAAACATAATGAAATAAAAAACGAACTTCATAAAACACGAAAATGACACAAACTTCATATGATACATGGCTTATAATACAGCTATGATGGTGTCATCTGCCTTTCTTACGTTTCTTGACCTTCGCGGTGGTTTTGGAGCACTACAGATTAGTACGGCCGCCTGACTCTTAATTTAATATAGTCACTATTAATCGCATAACACCATATTTTAATAACGTACTCACAGAATATAGATGTCATACTCCGATGTCTCATTATGTTTCGGAACCACGTAAGCATTCCAGTTTAATACTATTCAAGCACGAATGTCAAATTAAACTGGATTGTGCAGTGTTTCATTAAAAACGGGCAGAGTGAGAGAGTAAATTAGTAACACTTCATCTCTGTCTTAGTAGTTTTGTAGGATGTCCACGCGTTTTTAATAATTTCATAAATAGATAATATTTGATAATATTACATGACCTTATTTAAACATTTACAGATAGAACTTTATAATTTTTTAGAGCTTTTTTTGTATACCGATATTATGAAATTTAACCGATAAATTAGTTTTTTTTTATCGGTAAAGATATTTATTTTGTAGGAAATAAAACAAGTACATAAATGTTATCATAATCATCTTTAATGTATAAATCAATTAAAAGGATATTTTTTTTTCCTTTTAATTGTATTAGAATACAACGGATCATTTTGTCACTTTGCCTGGTATTATTGTCCTCCATTTTACAGCTAGACCTTATCCTTTGGGATCCTAGAAACATAAGAGCAATTTTGTCATGGTCAGCATAATAAAATTATTACTTTATAAATATTTATTCAAACTAATGTGTAGGCCATTCATATATTTTCCAAAACATAAATAAGCTAGTTCTTGTTTTTCATTTTCCAAATAACTTTGTACCTACCGTGAAAATATTCAAGCTTCTTGAGAATTTATGATATTAATTTCGCAGTGCATAACTAATTAATAAACATTTTTACTGTAATGTTAAGCAAGTAAATTTTACAGAGATTAAAACGAAGAATGGTGGGTAGCGTAAGTAAAACTAATAAATGTTTACAATATAAACGTATGAATATTCATTTAAATCAAAGCCCCTTTGATATGGTTTTGTTTCTTGTTCGTAGACACCCTATTTCATCACTGTTTAATAAATAAGACTAGCTTACCTGTGAAATGTGAAGTCACAACCGTGATACTATTCATTTTTGCAATCAGCCAAGCAAAACAATATACCATTTTGATGTAAATAATCGAATTAGTAAGTCAAAACACAAATAAACATCAAACTTTAGCATTGTTTATGTTGTCACATAGAGCGGCCATATTAATTTAAAATATTGCCACTTAAATGTAACGAAAAACTACTAACTCGACATCGGTTTACATTATCATTTTAATTAATTCACATTTTTACTTAAAAAACATATCAACTATGTCTATTCAATATATTTACTATTAGATAATAATTAAAATTACCTACTGATGTCTTTAAAAAATCAATAAAATCTCTTAAATGTCAATAATGATTATTTAATTTTCCAATGGCAACTTGTTAGACAAGGACCTACTCCTACAAATCTAATATCTCTAGTAGACCGTTTTCTACTCTGAAATGTGACATAGGAAAATAAGCCTTATTTCATAATAGATAAAGTGTAAGTTTGATTTTATGAAATATATCAGTACGCAATCCAGTTTAATTTGACATTCGTGTATTCAAGTTCCTCGAAGCTGTCAAAGGGATGCTCGATATTAGAAAGACATCGATGTTGACATCAATGTCACCATCGTAAGCTCAACATCGATGTTCGATATTTATCGAACACTGAACATTGATGTTGGAAAAAATTGATGATTTTTTGCAATAATTTACAAAGAAATAAAATACAGTGAATCTTTCAAAATTTATTACGAAACAGAACAAATCATTACATAATCCAATATTTAATATCAACTAATAGAAGGAAAACTAATTTTGATAAGGAAGAACCTTTTAATCTATTTCTTTATTGATAAAGAGTCAAATATGCGAACTTTTCTAAACATATATGTAAAATATGTATTTCAAGATGTGTTTGTATTACATACACAAAAATTAGGTTTGCTTTTTTATCAAAATTTCGATGTTTTTGGTAATATCGATTAATTTAAATTGATATTAATATTATCAAATATTCAAAAATACATTGGTCTTGCGTGAGGCCGTGAGTTAACATTGATGATTAATTTGTTAACATCGATGTTAAGACATTGATTTTTTTTTGCATTCAACATTGTTGATTATCCAAAATCGATTATCCCAATTTTAAAATTAAAAAAAAAATTAGAATTTCACGAAAGAAGTCCCACCGAATAACTCTTATTCCTTTTTAATAAAAGCGAAAACATTGTGATCCGAGGGGCTTCTTTCGTGAGACGAACTTTAGTTAGTTTAGCATAATTCATCCATCACTCATACATGCGAAGCTACCCGACACCGAAAAAAAAATCTTTTTAAACCTTTATACCTTCAATGCAAAACAAAATCAGCAAGCAGTAAGTATTTTAATCTTCTTAAGGGCAACTTATTATTTTTGTTTCTTTAAATAAACGATAAAATCGTAGCAGTCATTGAAGTACGTTATCGGTTGATTATAGGGTATCAAAGAGCGCTGAAGTCGACAGATTTATTTTTAACTTCTTTCGAAAATGCAAGCAAAGAAAAACTATTTGTTTGGTTACTCCAGTTACGAGTGCAACCGGTGAAATCTAGTGAAAAATTGTTGAACTTGATATACGAGATCATCTAGAGCACGTTAGATGATCCTAAGGATATATTGATATTTTATTCATAAACATTGATGATTGGCTAGAAAACATCGATGTGCCGATGTTATCGAAGTTAAAACATCGATGAATATCGATAATTTCTACTTATTATCTCCTTTTTGGTCTGTGCTCACATCACATGTAGTAGGGATGGGCAAATGGAAAAAAATGTCGATATATATCGAATCGATATGTTTCAAATGTATCTATAAATATCGACAAAAATATATCGATGTTTTCTGCGTAATAAGCGATTATCAATGAAAATTTTTAAAATATTCAGAATTTTGAAGCAGCTACACACCTGGCTGTTTTGATATCAGTTTTATTGTTTAAAATAGGCATATAAAGTTAAGAAATCAACATTATTAACACAACCAAAATTAGCTTATTCAAACAAACGTGTTTTTCTCTGATATTGACATCAGGAGCACTCCAGACATATACAAACAAAAAACACAAACAGGTCATAGACTAAACTCATACAGCCAACTGCCTGCCTACGCTTTTTCTAAATTTAAGAAATACATGATGTGACGCATGAGCAGACAGCTGAAATTAAAAAAACATATCGATTATGATACGAATTTGATACCTAAAAATAAATATCGAAAGCCGATATATCGCGGGAAACATATATCGCTTATTTATATCGATAGTTTTTGCTCAATCCTAACATGTAGTACAAACAATTATAATACTACTCTTTGGTAGGACATCATAACCACCACCACTTGGGTAAATTTAAATTAAATTAGCATAATCTTATAATATACAAATAGACAAAATGTTTAGATTACCGCAAGCTGAAAGAGTTGATCCAATGGAAGAAAAACGACAAGCGAGGGAAAATACTATAAATAGCGTTATCACATTTTGCGTATTGTGTGCTGCTATTCGAGTTGGTAAGTGTAATTTTTTGTTTGTGTATGATATCTGTTTTCTCCTAACCTTAAACGAAAACTGAGGACGCCTGGCGGTCGGACAGTGTCCATAATCTTCTCTCTTAAGTTCATGATCTCATACATAAATTATCATGCTTAATAAAATGTAATACCCAATTCTTAGATTTTTTTTTTCCAAGGCAGTAGAGTAACTATATAGATAGTTACAGTCAAAGAATTGTAATTTTATCTCAATATAATTAAATAATCGAACTGCTCATTTAAATTAATTTTTACTTTAGTTGGGTTTGGTATTAATTTGGTGAAAGTGGTAAAAGCAATTATCGCCGCTAGATCTACAGCTTGTTGTTGTGACCCATGTGGTGGTTTCTAAAGCTATAACAAGATTTCTTCTATATCCATTAAAATTGGTTAGTACTTTAAATGTTTTTTGTTAGAGATACCTAAACACTAAGGCGGAAACATTAATGTGTAGCCCGATGTTATATCAGCGAAGTGGGCAGTATGGACTGTCAAAAAAGTACAGTTTCCCAGCTCTAAGCTCAAAGAATAGTTTAATAACAAAAAGCCAATGCCAACATCAGATTTTATTACACTGATGCTAGTTAGTAGCAGGTTTGTTGCGAGTATCAGCATCGGCATTGTTTTTAATACTATGATGTATTAGAAATAATAGCTGCTGATTTTAATGTTGACATTCAAGCAGTAATATATTTGTTTAAGGCAAGAGTGAGCACAACTCACATAACTTATTTTGTTGACTATTTTTCTTGAGGCTGACAATTTCAACAGGGATGACGACTGGGTAAAAAAAAAATCTATTTAGTCCGTCAGTCAGATAATAGAAAAATACTAGTTATGTATATTTTTTTTACTTCAATTTAACAAGAAATGAATTAGATAACAGGCATTAAAGTTGAGGAGTGGGGGCTTGCTACGTCACAGATTAGTAGAAAAGGAACCATAATGTGACATCATGCAAAATTTCAACTCCATTTATCGCCGTAATTTTATGATTATGAAAAAAAATATGTGTTTAATATTTTTTAACACTCTACTTGACGGACAAACAAACAAAAATTAGTCATCATCCCTATTGTTAAATATTAGTTCTCCTGCTATTTTGCCTGCATTAATTGACTACTTGACTGTTTTAGGAAAAAAAATTACAACTTTCATATGATCATATTAAACCACTATCATATATATTTTTCTCTAAAAAGTGTTATTAAATAAAAGAAAAACCTTTTTAATCAATCACATGACGCTTTGGGCCATAATATTACATATCAATAAACATGATTTCGGCACTAGCAACAAAGAAGTTGAAGTTTATTTATATTTAATTATTTACTTAAAGAATTACTTACATGAACTTCATAATTTCATTGCTATGATTTTTTTAGAGCAGCTTTTCTTAACTTCGGTCGTGATTCTAAATTGGATCAGGTTGGTGTTGGTATTAGAATGGGTCACGCGAAAAATGCTTTCTTGACCTAGAGAAGTAACAGTAACTTAGTAAATCCAATTATTTTATTGACATAAATAAAATATTCAGTTATATACTTTTTTTTTTAATATGAAATTTTGCCAACATCCCGTAGTGAGAGAGACATATTATACACACTTAATGAAAATATATTTAATATACATCACTCACTTAAAACTACTTTTACTAGTTGTTGACCTATGAAAAAAGTAAATAAAATGCAACTACAAAAATAAAAAGATGTGAGACAGTTCGTCCTTAAGATATGCAAACTCTATGTTACATTATTCTTCTAAAAATAACATTATGTCTTCACATTGTTAACATGCCCCACCTTAGTGTGCTCAGCAGTATTTGGTAGTCAATGGAATTCTAGCGATGCAAGCGGCAAACCATGAACATTCGGCCATCTTTTCCAGGACATATCCTTTTGCCACATATTTTTATATTTATGTGGTGGGTACCACTTTCCGATGAGGAAAACAATTTTCAAGGGTCGCTATTCCTGATTCATTACCACTTTGGTGTGATTTTATTATTAATAATGTAATTTATGTAATCATTCTATGACAAACGTTGCATGCGTTCATGATAACATGCTGCATAATCTTCATTCTTTTTATTTTTTAGTACGACACATTTCATCAAATCATAGGTGATAAATAATGCAATATACAGTTAATATTGCATTATTTTTCATTGATTTTATAAATTTTCAGTTTGAGGTGTAGTTAATCGGCTTTTGAATCTGCGACAGTGCATGCAAGAGGTTGCTACAACATTTTTGATGATGCTTCTGGCTTTCAGGATTCAAAATCTCTGACGAATTTCATTTAATATCGTTTCATTGAAACCGTGCGCTAGTTTTAGGTGGTATGAAAGTATTAAAAGTCGAACAATTTGGTGGCGGCCCTCAAGAATTAGAGGAGACTTTATATCACCATCAACAGCTGGTGTAGATTTTATGCGTGTGTCGAGCTTGAGGAATCCATCGTCGTCTAAGATCAAGTCTAAGTGCAAGTGACGCTACGATCTTACCATTTTTGGGCACGGTCTGCGAAGCTTGAAGGCTCTTGATCTCCTCAGTAAAGCTGTCTATTTGTGACTGCCGTAAGAGAATCTTCTCGGCTCATTACAGGTCTCCGCCATATAGAGAAGAGGACGTGGCGCTAGCTTGATACTCTATTGGGACAAAAAGTATAGAATTAGTATCCACAGGCCGAGGATGTTTTGGAGCGGAAAATACGAACACAATAAGAAACAGGTTGTTCGTAAAAGTCTTAACCAATTGCTAAATCATGTTATAATTTGGTATAGGCAAATTTAACATAGGAACGTCAATAACGAGTCTAACTAGTTCAGATTTAAGTTCTGGATCTATTTTGTTTTCAACTTGGTTAATACTCATTTCGGAGGGCCAATCATTCTTAGGTTTAAGTAAGAACGGTGGCCTCGAAAACCATCTATTTGAAGTATCCATTCTTTTCAATTTAGGTTTGGTGGCATCGTCAGTCACGTTTAGAAAGGTAGGGATCCATTTCCAGCAAGAAGGATTGGAAATATCCATTATCTTTCCCAAGCGGTGGGCAACGAAAGGCTTATGATAGCGTGCATCACTCCGAATCCATTTAAGAACGGCGAGAGAGTCCGTCCAATAAATGGTTTCGGAGGGTTGTATTCGGTGAGCGTCTTTGATAGTCTGTACAAAACGAGCAGCCATAAGCGCGGCTTGGAGTTCTTAAACGCGGGATGGACACGGGTCTCAAAGTTGCGACTCGTGCCTTACTCCCAATTAGGCCAACCGAAATTTCGCCATTAACATACGTTATGCGCCAGTAGGCAACACACGCATATGCTTGTTTGCCGCCGTCAGCTAAAACATGGAGCTGAATGTTAGTATATTCTAGACTTGACATATACCACTTATTTTATATGTTGCAACCAAGAACTACATTCAATAACGTATTTCTCGGGGAATTGGAGAGTTCCAATCAAAACCTTCACGCTAAATTCTCTGGGTAAATAATACGTCCCCAGATTGTGATAGGCATAAGAAAGCCTAAAGGATCGTATAGCTGCATAACTTTTCATAATATGATACGTTTTGTGAGTTTAATGCTGGTGAACTCTGCAATGGAACGAAAACTCAGGTACGTCAGTAGGACGCCTACTTAACTATTGGGTGGAAGATTAACATCAGTGGAATCACTTTTTAAATCTATGGGAATTTTAGAGAGTGCTTCGGGTACATTGGATCTCCATGATCGCATTTCGATGCGGCGAGACGACGACTGATGCAAACCTGTTATGTTGGTTTTTATATTAGAAACATTAAAATCACTACTCGGTTCGCAAACGTAATTGGGCTCAAGAATTTTAGTTGCTGTTACTGTGTTGTCGCAGGGCTGATGGCGTTGTGGCTAACATGCCGTGGAGTAGTTTATGGAGCCGTTTTGAGCACCCGTCAACTCCACAAAGTTTGATGTGAGAGTTGTTCCATTTATGTGGGTTCGACTTTATACATCGGTAGCAAGTTTTTGATTTTCGAACCCATTCCCACCTTTTTCCTAAAGTGAGGGTTAAAAAGTGTTTACAGTTTACAGTCTGATATTATGCGTATTTTGTTTGCAGAAACTGCATTCAATAGTAGGTGGTGGTGTGATTACGCGCACAAACTCTTTTTTTATGATATTTTGTTGCATTGTGACTAAACGAAAAAGTTATATTTTAGTTACTTGTTTGCTTCTTCTAACAAGACAACAATTCCAATTTTGTGGCATTGGGTTTCGCATTAGAAGAAGCAAAATCTGTAAAGCGATCCCTAGTACGATCGTTAAATTTATGCAGAACACAATGTAAAAGTTCAGGTGAGTATAAGTAATCAATTTCGCCCAGTTGTTTAAAGTTACTATAAAATTACGAATTTTGTTAGCAATTATGTTCAAATCCTCTGGCGTTACGATGTTGGTGTGATTTCGCAGGTCAGTGAGCTCGCGTGCTACGAGGAGCTCGGGTCGAACGAAGCTTTGCTCGAGGGCCCGTACGACTTCTTCGGGTTCACTGGCAGTCCATAAAAGGGGGGCGACGGTCTCGTACGCGACACCACGAATAGCATTGTTTAACCTCGCCAAATTATCTGTGGGAGAATAAAATGATTTAGTTTTCTCGTAACTGGATTTGAATGCAAACCATTGAGTAGCATCACCGGAAAATGCTACAAGATCGGGCCTTTTCGGCCTATCGGCAAGAGCAGCAATGGCTCTGGCTAACGAACTTATAGAATTGGATGGAGAATTCGTCGGAACGGCGTCAACGTTGTTGCGTGGGGCGGCATGGCTGACAGATGGGTCTGGTGAGGCCTGGTTAGTCATCGTTGCATAGCGATGGACCCACGATTCGGTTTTAATAATAGATGTGTTACCGGAATGATTTGACTTATCCGAGGGCTTCAATTTTGCGAATTGTGCTTCCAATTACACCTATTCAGTAGTGTTTTCGGAACCGGTATTCTTTTTGAGAACCGGGAATTTCGGTACTTTTGTATAACGGAACCGGGATTTCCCGGTTCTTTCGGTATTTTCGGTCCTTGCTAGTTTTTGTTATAGAAAGCAAGTGATATGCTTCAAAAGTAAACTAAAATATAGTATTTAAGTAATTTTCTATCAGTCTATAATCAATCTCAGTGTTGTTGTTACGTACTTACGTAAGTATTTACTGTCAATAATATGGTAAAAATTAGGCAGTCACCTTAGATTCCTTAAACATTTAGAAATATATTAAACATTTTTCAAAGAAAACAAAATTAAACTTTATTAACAAAAATATTGAAACATAATATCTCCTTCCAATTATTCATAAAATCTTGTGTAACCAAAGTTTAGCTTTTTAAGAGCTTAAGGGTGTAAAGTTACGATCCCTACT